ACTGAGTGGTAGCCATCAGCTTCTGGAGTTAATAACAACGCCACGTCGGCCGAAAGTCAATGATTATTCTTGCAGTTCCTCTATTCGAGTGTCCTACAGCACTGAAAGCTCGAATCCGAGCTTATTCGTCTTCGTAGAGAGGACTACCACGACGAGGTATGAGTACAGGTTAATGGGGGTTAGAGAACATAAAAATGGATTATAGCTCTGGAGCCAAACTTTGGAATTCCTCAGGTGTCCACATACTTTTGTTATTAAGAAACTTTTTCAAAACAACAAATAATTGTACAGTAGTTCACAAAGTGCTCAGAAGTAGTGTATTCCTATGTTTTCGCTTATGAGGAATTCAACAGTAAAGGTCTCATATCGCAAAATTCAAAGGCAATTTTGCAGGACAAAAATTTGAGGTGTCCACATACTTTTGTTACGCACTGTATTTGCTAGTGCGAAACACCGCATGGCGCACCTGGTTTGTCGATATTTTCGCATCGTTGCTTCCTCAGTTCTTTAGCATGTCTTCCATGTTCGCTTACAAGGGAGGTCGTTCAGGCCGTGGTGAGCTTTTTCAAAACGGTTTGTTGCATGTTGTAGGGGTCCATGCGAGGACCATAGCGATGGGGTTCATTTTTGCTAAACGGTTCTGGGAATGTCAAAAAAAGGTCAAAAACAATTCGAAAAGAATGGGCTTTTTAAACCACCTTATTCGCCTCTGTTCTAGCTGTAGCGTTGACATAGTATAGTATGTAGGATATCCTTTGAGCAGGCATGAAAAACAGCGCAAATGAAGGTCAAAATCCAAATGGTCTACTTGGCATGCGGTGAGCTGCATTGGAGTTTTCCGTCAATACTGCCGCTTCTCTCTTCAACAGTCCCCACCTTTGACCTCCGCGTCAACGGAGTGGCAGATGGTGTGGTGGATAGTGCGACGGGCTCTCGGTCGGAGGGTTTATGGATCGGATCCCCTTGCCGACACAGTTTTTGCATTTTTCACATTTCTTGCCTCTTGTATTCCTGTATGCCCCATAATGTGTATGACCCTGATATACACCATTTGAAGGCACATTCCATGCGGGAACGGTTCACAAATGGACCTCACTCAATTATTACGCTCGCGAAATACTATCGGTGAAACTCTTCATGAAACTTGGGTTACGGCGGTCATCCGATGCTCTGTTCATGAACACGACACTCATTTTTTATGAAATATGGCGCAATGTGGTCGCTAATTTGGTGCAAAGGCTTTCTCGTACTACCATCATTGGCAGTCTGCGCGGCGGGTCCTGGCCAGTATGGCGCTAGATGGCCTCCGCAGCAAAAATAAGTATCTGAACCGTGATCAGGACCATCAATTACCCCTACGTATAGAGTTACGCCGAGAAAAATTTTCCCGAGCTTTTTGTGTTATGTTGCCGGCCATGTCTCCAGCTAGTGGCTATCAGCCCCCCCCCAAGGAGTCGTTATCCAACATCGTTAAGAGGAAGCTTTTCATTTGCTAGTATGCAGACGCAGAATTAAAAACTACACAAAAAATGACGCACATACACTGCACTCCTCTCATACCTTTGATATGAGAAACAAAAACCTTTCTCCAGGCAAGTGGTAACGAGTTCTTTGTCGAAAGCATAGACGGTAAAAGTGAAGAAAGATCAGGATGCTCGTTTAGTGGCTCCGAAGCTAGCAAGATGTTCTATGAAGACCTACTGAAGTTGAGGGGCAAAGAAATGAAAAATTTCTGGCGGTTTCGTCTGCCAGAGAGGATACTCAATGGAGTTTTCGCCTGTCACTGCCATCCAATATGGTCAAGCATGACCACCAAAGAAAAAACTCGAAAAAAATTTTTTCGCTGAAACCTCTTAAATAGGGGTAATCAATGGCCCTGATCACGATTCTGACAATTATTTATGGCGCCGACGTGATCTGGGGCCAGCGTGGCGCTAAATGGCCACTGCGAGCGCGAAGGGATGCTGCATAAACCCCTGAAGAAACTGCAGTGTACCGCACTGTATGCAAAGTAAAGCACTTCAATTTCGACCTCATTCAATGTTCTTTTTCATGTCTAGTTGAGAAACACTTTATAAACTCTATGTATTCTGCTTTACAGCTGAAACAGATGCGAATGAGATGATAAAACTTGCGTATTTTAAGCGATTTGTTTTTATTCCTTTTTTGACATTCCCAATAGCGTTGTGGAGCAAAAAATGAAACCCATCTGTGTGGTCCTTGTATGGACCCCTACAACATGCAACAAATCGTTTTGAAAAAGCTCACCACGGCCTGAACGACCTCCCTTGTTAGGCGAAAGCCTGTGAACTCTTGTGAAGCTGGAACAAGGTGGTCAAGCCATCATGTTAAAACCTGTCAACTCGAGAAGCAGGCTGTCTAGATGGGCCGACGTCGACACATCGAGAAGTCGTTGAAGTATCGCACAAATTAGCCCCCCCCCCCCCGGCCGACCGAAAGTGCGCCCAGCGCATCGTCCGGGAAGAGGCAGTGTGGAAATGAAAGCTTGGCGTCCCCGTGGTCAGTGGACGGGGCCGTGGCATCGCTTCGGGCTGCGCTTTCATCACGTATTCTCGAGCTGTGAAAGTAGTTTATCCTCTCATGTTTGACGATCAGGCTATCAACGTTTTGAGGCCGTCCAAGCTTTTCTAGAGCGTAACGCTTTCACGCCAACGTTAAGCTTATTAGCATCTAGCGAGTAAATTTAGTGGTCATTTCCGAGCCCCCCCCCCCCCCCCCCCCTGGGATGCGAAGAGTTCCCTCGCCTGTCATTGCGACATCTGAGGGTTTTCTAAAAGTAAGAATGTTGAAGAATGTACATGCTCTGATGAGAAATGAAATGTTCTCAAAGGGCTTAAACCCGCCCTCGACGAAGAAATGTGCGATTCTGGGAGACTGAGGCAGGATGATGACTTTCTAGCGCTTGTTAAAAATTATTTAAGCTGGCCCAGAAAAGTGAACGTGGCATAATGGTCCAGCCGCTTTCTTGCCAATCTTGGGTGTCTGTAGCTTATGTTCTGTCAAGTCAGTACCTTTTCAAAAAGTCAAGCATTTTTGGGTTTGGGTAACCAACCTAGCGATACCCATAAATTTCTTGAGAGCGAGCAGGAGAAAGTTCGGGAAACTGGTGGACTGGGGGTTGTGGCCAGGACCCCGAAAACGACGTCGCACGCAAGTCAGAACTCACTGCTAGTGGTCCCGACGTTGCAGTTTCAGGCTAAATTAGTCAAGTCGTAGCATTCTAGGTCCTTAATAGGTGACCGGTGCAGCAGACGAGCTGCCACGGCCTGCACTAGGTCCAGTCAGCTAGCTAGGGATGCTAGCAATACCTTCACTGTTAACGATGCCCCCTCCCCTCCGTTTCGAATTACACGAGGGCAAAGTGCTCGCGTTTCTCCTCAGTCACTTGCGAATGTTGCATAGGCGGTATTAGGACAAAGGGGCTGGATTCTGGTGATAAATTGGAGCGTGACTATGCGATTACGGAAGCAGTTCCCTGCGAAATTTTGCAAGATTAATCATACTCAGACTGGTTTTGCCCCCCAAAAGGCGGACTCTTTTCTTACTATGGAATCGGAAATACCTTACCTTCCAACCATCCTACCAGCTTTTTAATTTTTAAAGCTATAAATTTTCAATAAATCCTCTATTCAGTGGACGTCGGGAGCGGAGTCAAGTGCATAATTATGTGAAAATCCTTAATGTGATGTATAATGTATTTGTGTGACAAAGTGAAATAGTGAAAACACGTGTGAGGAGAAATTATAATGTAAGTAAGCGTATGTTCGTGGGAGAAAAGGGAGGGGGGGGGCGAGACTATCTGGGGCGGAGCTCAGTGCGGTCTACTAGGCGGAGTACAACATCGTGATGTGTGAAATGTTGGTGTCAGTACGATCACCCTCGAAGGAGGATCTTGCTACGACCCCCCTCCCTTCCCCAACACCTACCTACCACTCTCCTACAAGTGCCCCGTCGAGCGGAGAATTTTTGGGCGAAAAACTGGTAGGAAGCTGGGCACTAGTAGGAAAGGGGATAGATTGTGAAACGGGAAAAAAACGCGAAAAGACAATAACCGAGAAAATTTTTTCCTAACGCTTCGAACTTTTCCACATACGACTCCCTCCCCTCTCCCAATAACGACTAAAACGACCCCCTCTCCAGCTCCTCCGTGTTTTTCACACAACGATGCTGTACCCTGTTACTTGGTGCAAGGGGTAGTATAGCGGTCTCCTCGCAAGGATGCAAAAAAATCGCTCTGCGAAGGAGTCTTATCCTAGAAAAAAAAAGATATAATCGTCTCTCCCTGAGATGCTTGGGGCGTTAGGTTTGCCGTGACGCCAGTCGTACCTTCTCTCAAATTTTGCCAGCTTCGCCCCTTCAACGACTGGTGAAAAGACTGACGCACGCAACCAACTCCGCCCAATCCATGAAAACTACCCGGACTCTGTGTTCGGAATTCTGTGGGTGGGACACCTGTAACTTATGTATAGGTTTTTGTTGATAAATGCAATGTTTTTACTGCACGAGCGCGAATAAGAAAATATCGACACAGAATGCTTGATGTGGGCAAAAGTCGACCACGGCGGGACTCCGAGAATACCGCAAATATCTTCTGCTTATCCGGCAAGTTCGTTACCACTTACGTCTACCCGGCCAAATATTGACCTCGCATCACTCATGGTATGGACAAATGCCATTGAGCTTAGAGGATCAATAGGTTGGCCCAGGATCGTAAGTGTACGCAACTGCCCGTAGAGAAGATGCGGTTCGAAGTCCCGCCCGTGTCCGAATTTATGCCCACAGCTCAGCATCTTGTGATAAACTTATAGGTTGGTCTACAGCGAACAACTGCACATGAATGTGTCACGTCTATTGTGTACCACCTCTGTTAATTGTGATATTTATTTATAGAATTTCGAGCAATTTATTTTGAGAACATATGAGATCTTTGCTGAGAAGAAATCGGGGAGCTTCTTGTAGAGTCAATTGAGTCTCACTAGTCAAAAGATCATTGGCACACTTTGTCGTCCTATTTTACTGTCGTTTAATCCACGATGATAGCCAATCTTCATCTGTGCTAGTATGAACAGGATCATACGACTCCATGCCTGAAAATCCATTTAGAGAAATTAAGCTGTCAAGAGAAGGCCTTATCCCAGTTATCGTAGGATCACCTACTTTGCGAGAAACTCTACAACACTACACTTCTGTGAATCCTGACCTAGCCATGTGATGAGTGAATGGTTCCGGAGGTGCAGTAGCCTTCCACTTGCTCCGCTTAAATGTGTAGGAAACGGAGCTGGAGAGTAGTGATACTCAGATGACGTCTACACCAACCATTCTTCAGCCACACGCATAACCCTAATCAGGCACGCTACTTGCCTACGCCCTCTCACATTTGGTTGTTTTCTGCGTCTACCTATGTGTTCTGCGATTTTGATATGACTACAAGTGCTGCACCTTGAGGATAGCGAGGCGGAGTATGGAAACGGCACAAGGATGGCAGTACCTTCCAGCCCCGTTTCCGTTTCTGAAGGTGAGTGTACAGTCTACCTTTGACCACTAATGGCGTAACTTAGGGTGTAACTTAGCGCGATGTAAATTGCGAGCAAAAAACATTGGATGAGGTTTTCAGCTGTGAACTTGCCATACATTCGCAGTAGCAGAAAGCCGTTGTGATACATGTCCACGAGAAACCCACGGATATCTGTGCACACCTACCTCACTAGGGTATAAGCCACCAGGTTGCTCTAAGAATTTCGTGATTACTGGGATGTATTTGGGGAAATATGGTGCATACAGAGCTCGTCGCTCGTACGCTGGGGATCCTCAGTGAGGGGTCGTAGTTGGTCACTGAAAGAAGGGAGGGTTGTATCTGAGATTGACAAAGTTGTTTCCGGTGTCAACTTGCCTCTGTTCTTCCCGTTACATACCCTCGCTCGCCCTCAACTGTTTAGGAAGGACAACTGGAGAAACTTGAAAAAACTCAGGAATAGTAAGAAGGCGAGAGAATACAGGGGAAATGGTTGGTAGGACGGAGGATGGGATCAGGGAAGTGGCAACAGAGGAGGGAATCTTGAGGAAGGATGTCTTTTGCGAAACTTCTACCCAACGGCAGGACACGCATTTCTTTGGTACTCTGTCCATTGTAAACTTACGACACGGGGAGAAGAATTATGTAAGAGCATAGAATCAAGCGATCGTTGGAATCCTCACCTCTTTTTCGGCTTCTCGGCGAAATGTCATCGGCCGATTTCGTTCGAAACAATCGGTGAATATGTCCCAGAATAATGATTGAAATCCTCGATTTCTTAGAGCGACATGTTGGTAACCCAGGGTCTAAAAAGTAATAAGAATGAATCAGTACAAAAATAGAAACTATAGAGGAGTGATCCAGTGAAGGGTAGACCTGTTTATCACCTACACGAACGGTTGGTCAGGAAATCCATATTGCGGTGATACAGCCAATGCTGCGTCGCGCGCGACTTACACACTACGACGGATACCACACTAGCACAGTTTACTAAATGAAATCCTACACAGACCAAGTCAAGTCTTTCCCTCTACGGGTATAGCCCGCACAAAGAAGTTTCGAGTGGGGATGACTGTCTCGAACACACTTTATTCTCACTCGGTAGCTGTCTACTATCAGAGCCGGGGAGGGGGGATGGGAAATCTCTATTCTTTCTTGACTTTCAAGGGCGCTATAGCGTTACAGCTTTTGTTGAATCTGACTGGACATTTCCGAGCGACAATAACTCAGAGCCATATTGTTTGTACTATCATTGTTACTCCGCCAAGCCTCTGGACGAACGCATCGAGAGATTCTGGCACGGGCGTGATTCGTACCTGAGTTTTAGCGAGTCGTTGATTTCTCCGCTCAGCGGTAGAAGCAACCCTATTGAACTCCGCAGATATTCCCAGTTAGTGGTCGATGTAACGTTCAGCGTTCACTTCGCAGGCGGCGTCCACGAGAAATATTCGGTCTTCACATTCCAGAACTTTCGGTCCTACCCACCAGTCCGCGACTCTTGGCGACAGCGTGAAGATGATATCCTAGACGTGTCGGAAGGCTGCTTCGATGTTGGAGGTCTTCCAGGATTGAGAGTACTGGTCTTCCAGGTACATTCGGGCGGAAAAAAAGATGACTCCCATACAGAAGGTTCACAGCTATTGCGGGTGTTTGTGATTCCATATGCCTTAGTTCAGCTGCCATTGCAAATGGCTTCATATTTTGGTGTACATGATAGTGATGGGCGACAGCCAGCTCCTGCTTATCGAGGAACATCTTGGGTGTCTTCCGCCCTGGTACTCGTATGTCCTTTGCCTTGGCTGCGAAAACTTCGCTGATATGTAACTCGGACTTTTCTTTTTTTTCGGAAGTGACTTTTTTCAGCCTCCCCTGGTATATAGACCAGAAAAGTAAGGAAAGTCGGCTTGGTGGGGCACGAAATAGCATTTATCCGAAGGTAGCTCGGGGGCACCTTGTGTGTGAAGGCCTGTAAAATACTGACCAACTGAGTGTTTCAATATTCTTGTGCCTTACGAGGTTGGTTAGGTGGAACGTTTATTAATAAAGGCCTAACGTTTCGACTTAATCGTCGTCTTCAGAGGCCAGTGGTTCCACCGTTTGAGCGCGGATAGGTCCGCGCCAGACGACTAGAGGCGTGTCAATTCTATTGACAGCGCTCTAGTGTGGCCGCGGACCTATCCGCTCAAACGGTGGAACCACTGGCCTCTGAAGACGACGATTAAGTCGAAACGTTAGGCCTTTATTAATAAACGTTCCACCTAACCAACCTCGTAAGGCACAAGAATATTGAAACACTCACACTTAACAGCCGAGGTTGAAGAAGTAAGAAGCTTGGAGAATACTGGATCAACTGAATTCCTCACGTATGTATTTTGGCCCGCTTAACAGTTCAGCAGGTTCCTACTATAAAGTAACCTATTTTAAAAGATAACATGAACTTCTCAATGGGCACAGCTTAAAGCGGTGCAAATGTCACTTATAAATGAAGCAACGCCCCGAAGAAAGCTTCTATGACCCTGTGAAAGCAGAATGGCATTAAGGGCACCTAGAATGCTTATCGATGATTTTGACTAATACGTTTTCTTTACGACTCCTGCGATATAAAGAAAATCGTAGCTGAACGAGCTTCACAGTTTGTCAATTGTTTTGTAGGTTGGTAATGACCAAATTTAGTACAATGGCGAAATTTGCTGCATGTGACTTGAAGTACTCGTGATCACGTAGCCGTGAAGGTGGCACTGTATCCTGCAAGAACAATAAGGATGGCTAAAAGCTGACGCACAAAAGTATTACTGCCGGCTTCTCAATATAATGAATACAAATCGAAACCGTTAACATTGTGTGGTGTATAGTGCTAAGTGGCGTTATTGTCTACGGGCGTCCATGGTCAGTTTTACCATAGATCACTTCCCGTCCTAGGCCGACCCAGTTCTTATACCTCAGGGATCAGATTGTCTGATGAGGACAAACACACTGAAGCTGCCTCCCTGGGCAGTCGAGGTATAGGCAACATCGCATTCAATAAGCGATTAGAACGGAAGTAGAATACAGTCCTCATCACTGCGGACTGTCGGGGCGGCTGAGCCGCGCTGCACTGTGACGCGACAGCGGCTGCGGCTCGGTGACGGCGAATCAGCTGATTTCGATGGAAATTCGGCTGCGAATTCCCACTTTTTTAAGCTCTTCAAGCTTCGAAAGTGGAAGGTGAGTTATTTTGAGCAGTTTTAAACCTTGTACTTGCTCTAATTTCCGTCTTTAATACTTATGCTCTTTTCGCTGGTATTTTGCCTTCCAAGGCATTGATTCAAATGGCTTGCAACTCAGAGCCAGTAGCAGGATTTAAAATTGGCAGAATAACGTCGCCTCACTTTCGAAGCTTGATGACTGAAAAGGGAATCGCTGCCGACTCCATGGAGCATCAGCTCTGATTATGGCCGTCACCGAGCCGCAGCCGCGCTCGCTGTCACACGTAAAGCGCGCTCACCCGCCGACAGTCCGCAATGATGAGGACTGTACGTGCCGCATCCCAAAAGGAAATGATCAACGGCGAAGGGCTCATCATTTATCATAACCATTGGAGGAAAAACCGCACAAACTGTAGGGGAAGTGGTCCCACTGGAATTCTGTTCACAATGGCAAGGTGGAGTCACCATCACATGTAAGACGTTATTGCTCTTATGGTTAGGAGCTAAAGTGCTCCGCAGCTCTTCGGGAGTTAAAGTGAGGCCTCGAGTTTTTGCTGTATACTGTGCTTCTGTCCTCTTAGAAACATATTTCTAGCGTCAAAAAAGGATGCTCGTAATCCTTTGTGGACTCCTCATGTGCCCTCACATGCAGATCATAGAGAGATTTGTAATGACAATGCGCCAGTATGTGCGTCAAAGTTGTGCTGGTCCAAATCAAAAGACATTCCAGGTCGATAGACATACCCGGTGATCCAGGGGCCCGATATCGTTTTCCGATGAAGAGTGTGGTAATAATGAATTAGCGCCGAATGACTTCGGCGCCTCGAATCACATTTGGAACCACAGCACCGAATAAACCTCATTTGGTAAGTGGCTAGGTTGCCTACCTTTTTAACACCACCTTGAACATGAGAAGTTCCAGATTCTGAAGGAAATTCTCCAGAAAACCACCCACCAAGGTGATCGTTTCACCATCAAAGACTTGGGCGCATCTGGCTGTTCGATTCCAGTGGCTGGTTTTTACACACCTTAAAACACGACTATTCTCACAACGCGCCGGTTCAACCTGATACAAAATGCATGGTACGTGTGGTGGTGTGAAAACCGTGGCACCCGCACCATAGACGCGGGTGCCAGACATTTTCACTCCAGGTGGGGGTGGTAATCGTGGTTGGAGGAGTGGTCAAGATTACCCCGACAGTCAAGCTTATGTCAAGCTATCCCGCGAAAGGTTCTGGAGAAGTTTGTGGCCTGAATCCTAAAGAGAGCGCGCTGAGAGTAATATTGTGCCAAAGTGTTTTTTAGATTCTGGTGTATTAGTAGTTGAATGAGGCAGAGGTTTTGTAGTGACTAAGTGCAGCGCTTACCACTCGCACGCGGCGCCGGGTTCAGGTCTGGGGTCGACTGTAAACCGCTCTCTTGGCCAGCCAAGCCTTCTATCCTCTGGGGGCGGGTAATTTGGCTAAAACTAGATTCCGTCTGGAGAAAACACTGACTTGTACATCGGCCGTGGCCGACCTGCAAGTCATTGATACCACCTCGCCTTCAATATATCCACTACGATTCTGATGGAAGTATAGGCGTGTCCACAAAGTTCGTTCGGCCATCTCGTTTTTTTCAGAGCTGGAAGATCAGTCTCACCAAGTTGAACTTACCGGTCCATGATATAATCTCCATGCATACCCACTACCTTTCGCCAACGATCGGGTAGAGAGGCAACTCCATCCTCCCAAAAGCTGGCCGGCCGCGACTCGGCCCAGTCCTCGATCACGTCCTCGAGGTCGCGCCTGGCCAAGAAATTTTGCATGGACCGGAAGATGTGGTAATCGCATGGACTAATGTCCGGGCTATACGGTGGATGCGTGATCGTCTCGATGCCCAGCCTGTCCAGGACGGCCTGAGTATCTCTCGCTTTGTGGGGGCGCGCGTTGTCCCAGAGCAACCACGGATTTGCAAGTTTCTGGGACAAGGCGGCAGCTTTCACCTTGACCTCCTGCAATTCTTAGAGAGGGTCTCTGCCGTCACTGTGGCATTGTTGGGTAGGATGCTGTAGTGGACGACGCCGTGGCGAGAGAACCAGAAACCTCGGCATATCTTCGATGCCATAGTTTTCATTGGTGAAGCGAGTCCACCATTTTGACATCCAGTTCTTAGAAGGGGTGTTATCACCAAACTGCTGACGCATCCTGGTCGTGGCCTGACGTCTGGAGATGCCCAGGTTGTAGTAGTCCAGCAAACATCGGCGGTGGTGGTGACTATCACTCATCTTCACTGCTTTATTGTGGGAAGAGCAGGAAAGGAAATTTATAGCTAGCCTAGCTCAGAAGATAGCCATCGCGAGTACTTTCAGTATTGCGAAATCATTATGCAAAATCACAACGCGTTGCGTAACGCGACGCTGTTTACAAATGGCCAACGAACTTGTGGACACCCTAAATAGTAGCGTGCCGCATACCCACAAAAGAATTGATGAGGGCGAAGATTTTTATCCAATCCTTTTAATAGTTGAAATAGTGCGGTTCTATTTATGATTTGTTGGATCACCAAATTGAAAAGTAATAATAAAGACTCGTCTTGGTGCAAAATATCCGAGAAAATATCCTCTGAACATCGCTTTATATGTCGTTGTGTGCATTTGAGCCAACACATTTCTATCATGCGCTTCTCGTCATGCGAAAGACCCGATATCGCTCCACTGACTGAAATGTGCAAATTCTCCTGCAATGTTCATACATTTTTGCGTTTCTACGTCACAAAATTATTTATTCATTTATTCGTCCATTTGAATGCATCGGTGCCTAACAAAGAGGTCCGTAACTATATTCATTGGGCTGATTTGAAAATTGTGTTTTTCCCTATTTTATAGTGCCGCGAGCCCATTATGCAAAAAAGCAGTAGCTGCAGGGGAATGGCCATTTGTCAGGTTTCCAGGGATAACCCCTACAAGTTTTGTGTGAAGGATTCACAGTATGACTGGAGTTATATAGCTGCACGGCGCAGTGATTAACGATAGTGCACGGTCAGTCCTAATTCCCAAATCCCTGGAGTCGTCAAGCACTGACGCAGTCTCAAAGGCCCACTTCAAGATTGTAGATCGTGCGTAGTGATGTTCAAGTAAGAAGCTGAAAAAGCTAAGCGACGCGCTAGTGAAGAAAAAAAGCAAGAATTGAAAAAAGGAGATAAACACCCAAAAAAACGCCCTGAATAAAGTTCCCCTTGGGACAATTCATTTTGACGCTTTAGCAAGGACAAAAAGCCGTGGGAGCCGTAAATACACTGACCAGAGGCGGGGTATCAGAGACAAAGGATGAACAAACAAAAAGATAAGTGATACCTCGGAACGAAAACATGCCAATGAAGGTGGGCTGGCATGGCCTTACTGGGTCATGAGCCTGTAGCGCGTTTGTTGTACCCTTTTGAGCCTAGCAAGGGACACAGCATCTGCAGTTGGACATTCGATAATCACCAAGCTCGTCCTTCTTTGGAGATCTTCAGCGAGGGATGATGGGGGGATGGGCTCGTATTTGGTCACTGCAGGAGGGGTCACATTTTGCATTGAGCAACTTTGAGAGCAATGTTCTCGGCTACTGACTCGGTTTTTCGTGTTTCCAGGGTGCTCTAGACCTCCGCCACCCGACCTCCTGATGGCAATTTCTCAGGAAAAACTAGAAAGAAGAAAGAAGAACAAAGAAAAAAATGGGAAAATTTAGAAAGGTGGTAGGTACAGGATGGGGATGGGGGAGAGGATTCGTACCGTAGGAGGAAGTTTTGAAGGGGGAGCGAGTGTTTAGCGAAAATACCACCATGATTAGACTTTCCATGATTACTGCACACAAGAATTACTAGTTCGAGTTGGCTAAGTGCAAACTGTGACCCTGAATTGAAAAAAGCTTGGCTTCACCCTCGATGCAAGTGGAAAAGTTTCAAAGGGTGTTGCTTCGGAAATAGTTCCGGCCCCGCTTCTACTAACCAGGCCTTCCTCTTCCATATATTGACCAGCCTTGTTCTTTGCGGACGCTGGGGGATTTCAGTGGGTCGGCGTCTGGCTTTGGCGCGGCACCAGGCTATTCTCCATCCACTTTCTTGGCCAGGCAGCTTCCACAATTGCTAGAGAACAGGCTGGCGCCCCCCCCCCCGTCCTGGAACGCTCCCGCAACGAACAAGACTGAAGCATGCTCTCCTAAGAGCTGTGACTCGTTCAGTAGGCATTTCACTGTCGTTTCATGAGCTATCCCGTCACACGAGTTTCTCTATCGTTTCTGTGATAGGAAGTACAGTCGTTTCCGCTGCAGGCGATGGAACGTGGAGCTGAGTCTGACGCGTCACCAGCCCGTTCTCCTTCAGTTGTTAATCGGGAAAGCGGCAACGTTTGGTAGGAAACGGGCCCATCCTGCCCTGACACGCCCCCAGCGTCTGCAGCGAAAACGACTATGAATGCTGAGCATCGGTTGCTCAATTTGTTTGGTATAACGCGCCTAATAAAGACGATCTGTAAATAATTGTAATATAAGTAAACAGATAAATATATAATACATTTTTGACGCAAAAAAGGCGAGTTCTCTACGC